ATGATATCAGGGAAGTTTTCTGTCAACAAATCTTCAACAATTTTCTCTGTATTTTCTGTTATCGTCCCCTGTTCTGGTACTCCAGTCACTCATAGGTTATTTTTCTTGATAGAGTCTCACATGACTCTTAGTTTCTTCATTCTTTTTAATTCTTTTATCTGATTCTGCCTCAATTAAGTTGGCGTCAAGAGCTTTATCTTCAGTGTCACTAATTCTGTCTTCCATTGCCTTAATTTTGCTCCTTTGGCTTTCTATTGAGTTGTCTAATTCTGAAATTTTATTGTTAATCTTCTGGATTTCTGATTGCTGTCTCTTTTTGGATTCTTGCAGCCTATTAAATTTGGCATTATGTTCTTGAATAACTTTTAAGTTCCGCTACTACTGTGTCTGTATCTTCCTGGCTGTTTCTGCATTCTGTCGAATTTCCTTTCTTATTTCTAGAAGAGTTCTGTATATTAATCTTTTGTATTCTGCCTCTGGTAATTCCAAGAAGTTCTCTTCCTCCAGAGAATTTACTGAGTCTTTATTTTGGAAGCCTGCTGAAGCCATCATTGACTGCCTCTTTATGTGACTTGATATTGACTGTTGTCTCAGAGCCATCAATAGTTCATTGTAATTTTATTTTGTATTTGCTTAGTGAGGGCTAGCTTCTTATTTTGTTTTGTTTTGATATGCCCAAGTAGGCTGCTCGTGTGCACTAGTTTGATTTTTGACACCTGTGGATCTCTAACGTCCTGTCACCAGGTAGTTAGTTCTGTAACTAAGTATGTGCACACAGGACTCCATTAAATTTTCGTACATGGGTTCAGCTCGGGTGTTCAGGCAGTCGGTCACCAAGTGTGTGATGCGGGCTCTCACTCCCAGTCCTAGAGAGGCATGGGTGATTGGTGCAGGCACTGGACTCTGGCTATGGTAGGGGATCATGCACTGAGCCAGGCAGGGGGCTGATAGTTGCCCCTGAGAGTCTGAAAGGAAAGCGTGTCCGTATTCTCTAGGGTGAGTAGGTAGGTGAGTTTTGCAGTTGGACTGTGAGCCCCCACTCTGTTGGCTGTAAAGACTCGAGGGCACCACTTTTTCTTGGACTCCTGAAACAGGTGTCTAGGCGCTTTGGGTCCTACCACCAGTCCTCAAGCGCCTGCTGCAGATCAATAAAAAGTGCCTACTTAAGGGGCAGGACTGTTTCGAAGGTCACAAATCTGCCAGTTCACAGCTGAAGCAGTTGAAGTTAAACTTAAGATATTTGCCCTGTTGTACTGTAGCAGTGAGGACTAACGCTGTTGAGATGGGTCCCCACAAGTCTATACAGGGGTGTAAGACACTCAGAGTCTGCTTACCCCTGGTACCTGTGCCTAGCAAAGGAGCTGTGCTGACCCTGTGTTCCTGGCCTAGGGGAGCCAGCAGCTTATTTGTTCCCTCTCCAAGGCCAGGAGAATGGGTCAGGACACTTTTTGGGATCTACTTCCGGCCCAGCGGACTCCTGGTGCAGAACGCGGAGGGAGGAGGTAAAAGGGAGAGAGGTTTTTCCCAAATGCAAATGGGCTTTTTTTTTTTAAATCCCTGCAACTTATCTTAGCCTCTTGGGAGCTTCTTTTCACTGGTTCTGATTGTCCAAGCAGAATCTCTGCTGCCAGGTCTCTCTCGATGTGGAAACTGCTTCCCGAGCGCGCGCACAGCTGTTTGCCTGCTTCACCGTGGATCGGCTTGCCTGCAGCGCTGCAGTTTCACCACCGCGGCTGTAGCCCTCCTCACCTCTTCCAAATGGTCTCCCTCTCCCGTATCACTCAGACGGATTTCTCAAGCTTGCCTTGTTCAGGGCGCCCAGATATTCACATAGAATCAAATCACTTGTTTTTCCAGGTCTTTGTTGTAAGAGGGATATAGGAAGCATCTAACTACTCTGCCATGTTGACCACGCCTTGCCCCATAGAATTTCTGAGGCATGACTGGTGGATTCGAACTGCCAGCCTTTTGGTTAGCAGCTGTAGCTCACTGTAGCTCTTAACCACTGCACTACCAGGGTTCTTGTATCTCATTACCAAAAACCAAACGAAACCCGCCGCTGTCGATTCTGACTCATAGCGATCCTGTACAACAGAGTGTATCTCATTAGAAGGCCCTTGATATCTTGTGTGTTTTTTCAGTGTGAAAATAAATTAGTGGGTTCAGCTGTTGTCATTATCCTCACAGCTTTGCAAGTATTGTAAAGGCATTAGCAATCATTGATAATGATAGAAATTGATCCATTATTTTGTTAATCGTAAATGATAATATTTTGTCATTCTTTATTAGTTGGAATATTTCTGTAGAGAAAAATTTTCCCTCATTAACTGATGGGCCTTTATAAAAAGGCAGGATAAACGTTTGATTCTTTTTCGTTCATTTATCAGTTTACAGAATAATGAGTTGATTATCTAGCATTTCCCAAAGACCGTTGAAATGTGTATGTGTTTTCAATCAGTGTATGCTAGTGCATTTTAATATATTTTATGTGTTTCAATTCATTGTTTTAATTCTATGTGATTCTCAAATTGTTTCATCTCTGGCTTGTGGAAATGTTAAAAAGAATTGGCTCGTGAGTTCTTCTTACATGGTCTTTGGAAGCTTTTTTGCTTTCTGATTATGACAAGATGTTTTCAGGCTTATTTTATACATTTCTTCTCCCAGACCCAGAAATCATCCAGGTGTGCTCATTGACACTAGGTTGGTTTCTAGGCCATTTCGGTGGACAGAGCTAGGAACTAAAGTGTTGTTATTTTGTTTTGTTTTTAAGGTAAATTAAATCATGAGCTCATACCAGTATCTTCTGTTCAGATTTCAGATTTCAGCAGTTTTACTTCTTTGATTTTATATTTGTATCTTTTATCTTGGTTCCTAGTGACATTAGCGTTGTATCTTACAATATGTACGTATTGGTTTCAGAATAATAATTCCAGTTTAATCACTAACAATATGGCAAAAATAGTTTAAGATGTTTTGCACTTCTTTGGTCCTTAGAATATATCCTAATAGCCAAACTTCTGTGTTTAAAGTTAAAATAACTTCTCTCTGTTTGGTTAATCCACCAACTTAATACACATACAGGGTCATTTGTTTCAGTTTGCTCTTGATTCTTAGGAATTGTTCATTTTCTTTTTATTTTTTATTGTACTTTATTTCGTTTTTTTTCTCTTTTTTTTGTTGTACTTCAGGTGAAGGCTTACAGAACAAATTTTTTATTGTACTTTAGATGAAGGTCTACAGAACAAGTAGCTTCTCATTAAACAGTACACATACTGTTTTATGACATTGGTTAACAACACTCTCCTCAACCTTGGGTTCCCTATTACTGGCTTTTCTCTCCCCTCCTGCCTTCTAGTCCTTGTCCCTGGGCTGTTGTGCCTCATTAGTCTCGTTTTGTTTTATAGGGCTGTTTAATCTTTGGCTGAAGGGTGAACCTCGGGAGTGACTTCGTTACTGAGCTAAAAGGGTGTCCGGGGCCATACTCTCAGGGTTTCTCCAGTCTCTGTCAGCCCAGTAAGTCTGGTCTTTTTTTGTGAGTTAAAATTTTGTTCTGCATTTTTCTCCAGCTCTGCCCGGGAGCTTCTGTTGTGATCCGTGTCAGAGCAGGCAGTGGTGGTAGCCAGGCACCATCTAGTTGTACTGGACTCAGTCTGGTGGAGGCCATGGTAGTTGTGGTCCGTTAGTCCTTTGGACTAATCTTTCTCTTGCATTTTGTTTTCTTTTCATTTTGAATGAAGTATGATTTTGTAGCAATATAAAATATTTTCATGCTTCCAAGTCAAATTAATAAAACGATACATTTAGAGAAACCTAGCTTCTATTCCCATTCTCTTTACGCTGTCTCTTCTCCACCTAGGTAACCATTTGAAATAGGTTTTAAAGTGTTTATCCTTTCATATCTTTTTTTTTTCACATTCTTCCCCTTCTTATACACACTATTCTGTACCTTGCTTTTTTCCTCATAAAAATATGACCTGCGGATTACTCCATAGCAGTATGTGGAGACAGTCATCATCACTTTTTATAGCTACATAATTTCCATTGTATAGGTAAGGGGTTGGCAAATTGGCTGTAAGGCCAGATCCACCCTGCTGTCTGATTTTGTCTGGCCCACAGCTGAGAATAGCTTTTTTACATTTTTAAATGGCTGGGGGAAAAAAATCAAAAGAAGAATAATATTTTGTAGCACATAAAATTCAAATTTCAGTGCCTGAAATAGAGTTTTATTGAAACAGCCATGTACATTTGGTTCCATATTGTCAATGGCTGCTTTTGAGCTACAGTGGCAGAGTTGAGAAGTTGTAGGAGAGACTGTATCTGATGTTCTCATTCCCTGTCACTGCTACTTGGCACACAATAAATATCAGTAATGCACTTATAACTCAACCGTGTTTTCAGTACCATGCCTATCATAGTTTTATTACCAGGGTATACCCATTATGTGAAAACAAGAAAAGAAGAGAAAAGTGGACTTCAGATGTCATGGTTTAAAGTGTAGTAGAGTGTAGATTATTTTGTTATTGAATTAAATGGCAGAGTACTGTGTTTATTATTCAGTGACACTATGTTGTTGTTAGTTGCCATCGAGTTGATTTTGACTTATGGTAACCCCATGTGTTTCAGAGTTGCTCCATAGGGTTTTCTTGGCTGTAATCTTAACAGAAAGATTGCCAGGCCTATCTTCCACAGTACTGCTGGGAGGGTTCGAACCATCAATGTTTAGGTTCACAGTCAAGCGCAAACTTTTTGTACCACCTAGGGCTGTGCTAAAAGAATATAACATAGGTCGATATTACCAGACAGAGTATTCACAACAATATTCTCATCTGGCAGGAAAGCAATGGTCAGGAAAATTAGAAAATTTAAAAGTGAATGTTTCATTACAGCAGAATTTCTTCACGAAAATGAGGCTCTAATCAAAGTTTCTTAGTAGCTCATTTATTAGCCAAGCAAGGAAATTCCTTTACTGATGTGAGTAAATTAATTGTATTTGATTGCAGCAGCTGAAGAAATGTGTCCAGAGAAAATAAGCTTTTTTAAGACAGTATTTCATTGAGAAGAGTTGTTCAAAGAGTTGAGGACAATGGGAACATCATCAATGGTTTATTAAAAAACAAGGTAAATGATTTTGAGTGGTTTTCCTTGGTTCTTGATGAATCAACAGAAGTTATACTTTTCAGTTGTTACTTATTAATCTATGCCAAGTTTTGAAGTGACTGAAGAATTTGCCTCTGTCAATAGTCAACAAGAATCAACTACGAAACCAAAAGACCTACTACAGTCGATTCTGACTCATAGCAACGCTGTAGGACAGAGAACTGCCCCATGGGGTTTCCAAGGCTGTAAATCTTTTTTTTTTTAATTTTTAATTTTTTTAAATTGTACTTTAGGTGAAGGTTTACAGAGCAAGTAGTTTTTCATTAAACAGTCAGTACACATATTGTTTTATGACATTGGTTAACAACCCCACGACACATCAACACTCTCCCTTCTCGACCTTGGAGGATCTTTTGGTGAAAATATACATAGCCAAAGATACACCATTTCAAAAATTTCTACATGTACAATTCAGTGCCATCAATTAAGTTCTTCCAGTTGTGCTGCTATTCTCACTATCCTTTTCCAAATTATTCCATCACCATTGTCTTCAACTCACTGTCCCCCAGGCTTCCCATCAAACTTTTTGAGTTGCTGTTGTCAATTTGATCTCACATAGGTAACTCTTTTTTTTTTTTTTTTTTTTGTACCTTAAATGAAGGTTTGCAGAACAAGTAGTTTCTCATTAAACAGTTAGTACACATATTGCCCTATGACAATGATTAACAACCCCACGACATGTCAACACTGTCTTTACTCAACCTTGGGTTGCCTATCACCAGCTTCCCTGTCCCTTGCTGCCTTCTAGTCCTTGTTCATGGACTGCTGTGCCTCATTAGTCCCGTTTTGTTTTATGGGGCTGTCCCATTTTCAGCAAAACAGTGAACTTCAGGAGTGACTTCACCATTGAGCTAAAAGGGTGTCTGGAGGCCATACTCTCAGGGTTTCTCCAGTCTCTGTCAGGCCAGTAAATCTTTTTTTGTGTGTGAGAATTTTGTTCTACACCCTTCTCCAGCTCTGTCCAGAACCTTCTGTTGTGATCCCGGTCAGAGCAGTCCGTGGTGGTGGCTGGGCACCATCTAGTTGTACTGGACTCAGTCTCGTGGGGGCCTTGGTAGCTATGGTCTATTAGTCCTTTGGACTAATCTTTTCCTTGTATCTTGTTTTCTTCATTCTCCCTTGTTCCTGAAGGGGTAAGACCAGTGGAGTATCTTAGATGGCTGCTCACAGGCTTTTAAGACCCCAGATGCTACTCACCAAGGTAGAATGTAGGACATTGTCTTTATAAACTGTGTTATGGCAGTTGAGCTAGATGTTCCCCAAGGCTGTGAATCTTTATGGCAGCAGACTGACTGCTACATCTTTCTCCCGTGGAGCGGCTGGTGGGCTTTAACTGTCGACCTTTTGGTTAGTGCTTTAACCACTGCACCACCAGGGACCTTGAATCAACTACAGTCGAGAATATCTTCAAAGAAGTTAAACAAACACTAATCCTGTGCCACTTGAGGTGGAATCTGTTAAGATGTGTTACAATTGACAGTGGTAAAAATAGGTGTGGAACAGAAAAAGGCTTAGTTGGGCAAATTTTACAAAGCTTGTGAAAAATAAGGTATTTTAAAGCCTGTTGTTGTTATTCATTGTATTATTCATCAGCAGGTAGTTTGTGGAAAATCTTTGAATGTGTCTTGTGTTATTGAACCTGTAGTGTCAGTGGTGAAAATTGCTCCTCTGGACTTAACCATCATAGTTCCGTGTATTTTTGTCAGTTATAGAAGCTGACTATATTGACTTGCCCTAGCACACAGCAGTTTTATGGTTTGGTAGTGGTAAAATTGTATTGTGACTGTTTTGAACTCAGAACTGACGTTAAATTATTTTGAATGAGAACTCTTATTGTCGAACATTGAATGTCTTTGAATATTAGCCTTTGCTGCAGACTTGATAATGTTTCTTACTGAATTCAAACTAAAATTACAAGGTGAAATAGCACTTTTATGGGAAACATTCTGCAGTGCAGTCATTTGAAAACAACTAACGTTTAATCATAAGTAACGTCAAGTTGCTTCATACACGCTAAAACAAGAAATAAGGTCTCCATTCTAACACAAATTTGCAGTGCAGTGGTTAAGCCCTGAGCTGCTAGCTGAAAGGTCGGTGGTTTGAACTGCCAGCTGCTCTGTGGGAAAAAGATGTGGCAGTCTGCTTCCGTAAAAATTAGTCTTTGAAACCCTATGGGACAATTCTAGTCTGTCCTAAAGGGTTGCTATGAGTTGGAATTGACTCGATGGCAACAGGTTTGGTTTTGTAGTTTTTGGTATTTTCTGAGTTCAAGCCGCAGTTCCAGCATCGATTTTTAGACCTCAGTGCAAGTGCAAAGAAAATTTCCATACTTCAGAATCCATTTATCTGTGTAATTGAGGAGTTTCCATCTAATCTTCAAGTGATTGATCTGCAATGTAATGATATGCTAAAAGGCAAATATCAAGAGAAGAGTCTTAATAATGCTTTCAAAGTGATAAATACGCTCATTGAAAATCGTATGCTCATGGATTCATATCAGTACTTGGCAGTACCTATCTGTGTGAAAAAACATTTTCAAAGATGAAATAAGTAAAATCTCATTACATATCAGCATTAATAGATGAATATTTGTAATTTTGATTATAGGATACCTTCACTTTGAAACCTATTAAGCAAAATGTTATCCTTTCCGAAAAGAATTCCCTCATTCTCTTAGTAGAACTGTTACAAAAATTGTACTCAATTATTGCTGTATTTTGAATTTTGTTACTACATTATTTTTGATAGAATATTGCATTCTGTTTTGTTTTAAATACTTCCATAATATCCTTGATTTTGCCACTTGGCCCACAAAGCCTAAAATATTTACTCTCTGGCCTTTTATAGAAAACGTTGGCTGATGCTTGGTATGTATGTATAGTTTATTTGATCAGTCCCCACATGACAAACATTTGGGGTGGTTTCTAGTATTTTGCAATTACACAAATAGTGTTTCATCAAATAAATTGTGTATTTATCATTTCTTGTATTTTGCATAAGTATCCTTGGTGTGGATTACTTTAAGTGAGATTTTTGGGTGAAATAGTACTTTATTTTTACACAAATAACATGTACCTTCTACATTTATTTGCCAACCACACCCTCCCCCTCTGAGGTATTGTCCTGCGTGTGCTAATCTAATTTTTTTTACAGCAGTATATAAAAAATGTTGGCATAGCAGGGCTTACAAAAATACCTCATGGGAAGAAGGTGTGGTTGGCAAACAAACATAGAAAGCACACCTTATTTGCATAAAAATACGGTAAATGCATATATGAATTTGCTAGATTTTTCTCAGTAAGATTTATACTCTTTTGCAGTCCTGCTAATGTTTGAGAATGCATTTTTCCCTTCCACCTCACCATCAGTATTTTAGGTTTTGGCCGCTCTGATAGATAAGAAATGGTATCTTAGTACAGCTCTAATTTGTATTATTTTTACTTTGAGTGCTATTGAGCATATTTTTATATATTTAATGGACATTTGCATTTCTTTTTCTGTGAACTGTTTGTTTATATCTCTGCCAGGTTGTTGCCTTTTTTTTTTTCCTTCTCTGTTTTTAGAAAATAAACATTTGGGGTACTGGGTTGTTGTCTCCTCAGTTTTTCCAAGCTCTTTATATATTAGGGATATTAACCCTTGGTTATATAAGTTTCAAACATTTCTCCCCAGTTTATCATTTGTCTTTTTGTTATTGGTCTCATTTTCCATGGCCTTTCCTCCCAAGTTTTCTTTTTTATATTGCCAAATACATCAATGTTTTCCTTTACTGCTTTAAATTGGGATCATAGAACAGTTTCCTCACTCCGAGGTTACAGAGGAATTTATTCATGTTTCCTTCTAGTACTTTTATAGTTGCATTTTTTTAAATATTTATATTTCTGATCCATTTATAATTGTGATGTTCAGTTTGAATAACAGGTGTAATTTTATTTTTTTCCCATATGGCTGTTGGGTTATCACAACAACACTTATTTTTATTAAATTTCTCTTTTCCCGATTGATTTGAGATGCATCTTTAAGCCATTTAGTAGTGATGTTTGTGTAAGATATGTGATAGGGATATAACAACTTATTTTTTCCAAATGGATTATCAGTTTTCTCAACGACATTTATTTCTTCGTCTTTAATAATATGCCAGATTCTAGGATACATACACATGGATTTGTTTTTGGACTCTCTTTTAGATTTTTGATTGACTTGTCCTTCTTTTGTATTAGCATTCTGCTGTTGTCATGGCAGTAGATAGTTTTGTATTCTCTTTTGGTATTTGGTAAAGCAAATGATCCAATTTCCACATTTCTTGTTTCTCTGATTTTCTGAAGGGTGCTATCCTTATTAGTTTATTCTCTACTATCAACTTTTATATTTTTGCATAGCATAGTCTCATGCATACTATTTGTTCAGTATATATTTGTGAAAGTTAAATCATTTTTAGGGGTGGTAGAGAAGAGAATTAAATGCATTCTTTTAGTTTAACAAACATTTATGTCATATTAACAGTGTTTCATACTTAGTACAGGAGGGTAGAGGTAAAAGGTAGGTGAGTGATATAAAAATAGATAAGATACATTGTCTTTACCTGTGTAGGTGAGAGAGAGAGAAAAATAATTGCAATATAATATGGTAAATGCTGTAGTATGTTTTGGAGCATAAAGGAAAGTGACCACCTCTTCCTAGTAGAATTAAAATTTTGCACACAGGACATTTAATCTAAATCCTGAAAGATTTTGAAGTGGGAATATGTTAGGCAGATAAAAGAGATGATGCAAAGTCATGGAACTGATTAGAAAATGTTAATGTTAAATAATTTTTGTAATGAAGGTACTACAAGTTGATCATTCAAAATTCTTAAATAAGGTCTTAAGTAACAGTGAAGTTTTGGTTTCTTTTAACCTGTAGATTAATTGAATATTAACACTTTATGTGGAATTTAGTTCAGCCTGTTCATTCTAGGCATG